AAACACACAGAAGAATGTGATTCTATCTCCCACTTTCTTTCCTTTGAGTACACTTGGTTCATGCCTGCTCTTTACTCTTCACAGCCTAAGGAGGGCTGTGTGCAATATATTCCACTTTACAGATGAAGAAACCAAGATCTAGAAGCTAGATGACCCGCCTGAGTCATGTAGCCACACAGTAACAGGGTAGGAAGCAGCCAGGCCCCCAAATTTCAGCCTAAACACTAGCTCAGCATGCTGACCTGCCAACCTGGATTATCTCCGGACCACTTCCCTCCCTCCTTCCTCCCTTTCCCATCAGGTATTAGATTTAATTAAATTAGCAGATCCCCATTGCAACAATCCTGGCCATGTTGCCTGGATAGAGCCCAGCCAGTGCAGCTCCTCCCTCTAAATTCTGCTTCTCAATATAATTCAATCTTCAATAAGTCACGGATCTCATGTGAAGTGTTTTATACAAAGCATGGTGTGTTGGCTAGACTCAAGGCTAACAGTGGCTCATGATGATTTCATTTTCCATCTAACTTCCTCGGTTTTCCTCTGCAGCATCGTTTTCACTCTCTCCATACTCAGATCTGCATTTTGTTTGATCCAGACACTTTGCTTCACATGCCGTCACCTCCAGCAATTGCATCACACATTTATATATATCTTACAGCATCGCCGTCCTGTGCCACACAGCAGAGGAAAAAGGAAAACTTACAACAGCCTTTCTCACCCTCCTCGAACTAATTTAGAAAATGTGCTCCAGATTAAATAAATCGTGAACAAAAGTCTGAAATTGGGTATAGAATTTCAGAAAAGTGGGGTGGGGGAGCTAAATAAATAGCAAGGAAATCTTGCAACATGTTGGAAGCCTATAAATTTTATTGGTTGTTTCTTTAATAAGAACAAATTCAATTGCTAACAACACAGTATTATTAAGCCTCAAACATTTAAAAATCTAATTTGTCCCTGCTCTGCTGCTGTTATGTTGCACCGTTGTATTCATGAAGGGCAAGGAAGTCAGGTTGATCGGTTTCGTTTGGTTCCTAAACCAGGCTAATAGACACCCCTTTAAAACTCAACCTTTTTGCTTTCTAGGCATGCCTTGGTCTCTAATGACTTACAGCCCCAGGTTGAAGATGGACATGGCAGAAAGAAATTTAACACACACTCTGGTGCACCCATAAACTTCAAGGCCAAGGGAGAGGGGGTATGTTTCCAGTTAAGCTGGAACTCCATGAATTCAGGATTCTCCACTCACAAGACAGTAATTCTCCTTATTTCATCACTAACTTACTTCAAATGTGTTTATACAATTTATTGCTACCGAACTTCCAGGCAACTGGTGTAGAGTTAATGAAACCCAGCTTGGAGAAGCTTTAAGCTTTGAACAACTAACCACAGTTTAAATGGTTATGACATGCGGTCAAAGCCACAGCCCAGCCCCACTGCAGTTTCTGTGTTAGGACCTAGTCAAAAACCTTGTCATCTCACCTTTTCTGCCAAATACATTGAAAAACTAAAAAGCACTGAAAAATAGCCAGCCTTGTTCCTTCTCAAGGTTCCTAGCCATTTAAACACATTTGTCTTACTAAATGCAAGGCAAAGCCCCTCCCCCAGTGCCCAAGTAAATATTTTAGTTGCAGCTTGAATTGGCAGCTGGGCTGAAATCCTGAAATCCAGTTTGGGTTTAATTGAACAGGGTCAGGCCTACCTAAAGCAATGCTGGGAGGTGGCTGCTCCAGAAGCATTAAGCAGCATTTACAGCCAGATTCAGTGAAAGCCCAAAAGGCAACAACATAGGAACGTACAGATGAAACTGGAAAAGAAGCAAACTTGTCTTTCCTAATTACTTGGACATTGACTTTTATTAATTCTCTTTGTCACAAGGCGTCCTCCCCCAAGCTCTTTCCATGTGGGAACTCCAGCAAGCTCCCTTTTATAAAACAGGCCCATTTTGGGAGAGTAAAGGGGAGGTACTGGATTTGCCACTGCCGCACAATAAAAGCCCCTTTTGAAAGCAGCACTTTCATTAACTTAAAGCAATCTATAGACTTAAAAGCAGAGAGCAGTAAACTCCCAGAAAGGATCATAAAACAGCCAGTCTCAAGTTGGGTATACTTCAGTGCAATTTGCACGAGGCATTTTACTGAGAGCGGTGGTCGGGCCCATCTCCCTCCAGTAACCCTCTGCCCCTTATTCTGAGCAGCTTCTCATTCTCCTGGCTTTCATGCCTTTCCTGCTCACAAAGGGGAGGCGGTGACCGGGGAGTCTCCGCGGGGTCACGGCTCCCTCCCCCCTTCAGGCTCTCGGCGGGAGAGAGAGCGCACGAATTCCAAGCCTGCAAAACAACAGCCTTGGAGCTCCGCCGCCGGCAGTCGCCGCGCCCGGGGCGCCTGCGGCCACTCGTGGGTCGCGCTTCTTCTGTGCCCCGTAAGGGTTGTTCTGCTCTCCCTGCCAGGAGTGCGAGAGGGAGAGACGCTGGGAAGGCGGACTCAAAATTGCGGGGAGGACATTTCAAGCCTTCCTCCCCTCCACCCTTCAACAAACTCTTTCTCTAGTTGGCCAAAGGATAACCTCCCTCCCCAGTCGGGACCTCTCCCCACCCCACACACCGCCAACTAGGCCTGAGTCACGGGGGATGCAGCTGGAGCGGGAGATCGTGAGTCCAGAAACGGGATACCGCCCCCCCTCCACTTCCACCAAGGTCCTGGGGCCTCGGGGAGGCCAGAATGGCAGAGTAAGCAGGAGGGCAAGGAGCTGGGGCTTTGGATAACACATCGTGTTATGTTTGAACACCATTATTTTCTCAGATTTGGAGAGGGGAGCATCGTCTAAATTTGCCTAAAATGCGAAGCTTTTGGATTCCACCACTTAGCGAGCATTTGAAATCCGAAAAGCTAATACCCTGGAGACGGCCAGGGACAAGTAGGGTGATGGTAAGGGACCCCGAGCTTCCTCCTCCCCCAGGAGGAACACTGCAACGGTGGCCAGGCTTGTGGGCTTCCCGGACGGGCGGGAGAAAGCGCAGGCAGCACCTGTGAGTGACGAAGAGGCAGCTTCTATCAGGACGCCCGAATTCGAGTACGTCCTATCCTCTGCCGGCCGCAGCCCAGACTCCTTCGGCCCAATGTGGCACCTCTCTGCTAGCGCTCCCCCTCACGCCACCCCATCGCAGGCCGCGGCCCCTGCGGGCCATCCGCACTCGCCCTGCCGCGCTGCGCCTTCAGACCCCAAGTAGCTCCCGGAGCCCGCCGAGCCACCAGGGTCGGGTCCTCAGACCCATTCCAAGACCCCCGGGGCTGCCCTGTCGCTTTGCTCAGAACATCCACTCGATTTGTCTGCTTTTCAGAATCTCTCTTCCATGAGCGGGTCTTGTATGCCCCAAGTCCTCTCTTCTTCCAGAAGCGCTTTGGGGGAAAAGCAGCAGAAATTCGGGGCTTGTTTGCCATGGCCCGAACCAACTACTTTCGTCGCCTACCTAAACGCTCTTTCACTTGCCGAGCTTCAGGACGCGCGCGCGCGACCTTCCCCAAATTCCAATAGCCTCGACCCCCCAGTAAAGAGCTGCGATCCGGTGGCTGAATCCTAAAAACGCCACCCATTTCTCCGGCCCCCAACTCCTACCTCCAGCCCTCTGCTCTGGCCGGCGAGTAAACTACTCATCGGCCTTTCAATCCTGATCTGAAAACAGCCTGGATCCTGTAACCCAAACTCTAGCCTACTCCTAAAGCCCAGCCCTAACTCAGGGCCGATCCACAACCCCCCAGGCCACGAATTCTCATCCTGGGTCTCCCCACCGCTCCGGAACGCCAGGCTCTCCGGTGAAGAGCCCCCGGAAAGGGTGGCTCATTTCGCTCATTCCTCGATTTCGGGAGCCAGGAAAGCCCCGTCTCCTGACCCGAAAAGAAACGCAAACTTTGCGCGGCAGATTCGGGACCCTGCCCCATCCCCCTCTGCTCTCTGCTTTTGAGCGCTTTCCGTCCCCCCTTTTACGAACTCATCCACTAGTTCCGGAGCCAGGAGGGCTCTGGATTCCCAACCCTCGCCACGGGCCCCTACGCCTCCCCCAACCTCACCAAAGACCCCCAACAATCCGCGGAAAGCCAGTGACCCTACAAATTCTCGCCCCTCCCCGGGCTAGGGTCTCTGGGGGTGGCCCCTCGATCCCGGCTTCCCTGACCCGCCTCGTGTTCCCAAAGCTCACTGATCCGCCTGCAAACCCCCACTCGCCCTGCCTCCCCCGGCCTGGCCGGACGCGGCCGCGGCTGCTTGACTCCAGTCACCCTGCCCCGGTCCGGGGCTGCTCCCGCTTCCAGCCACTCGAAGGCAGCTCCAAGCTGGTGGCGCCGAATAAGCGCCGGCCCAAAGGACGCCCGAAGCCGGGAGAAAGAGAACCTGGGGCCGGCCCACGGTTCCCAGCCTCGCCCCGCGGAGCGCGCAGCCCGGAGCCGCCAGCACCCGGGCTCTGGCCGGCGCGCTGGTCCCTATTCTCGGGTCCCGGGGCGCTCCCGGCGCACAGCTCCCCGCCCGCCCGCTACGGGGAGCTGGGCCCGCGGCGGTCCGGGTCCGCAGCCCGCTCCTCGCTCCCGCGGACAATGCGCGCCCGGCCACGGGCCCGAGCGGGCGAGGCGGGCGGCGGCGGCCGGGCTGCGCGCTGGCCGGGCCGGGGCGCGGGCGGACCGCGCGGTCTCGCCGCCTCTTTGCCCGGCCTCGCCGCCCCTCGCGCTGCTTCGCTCCGCGCTCTCCCGGCGCTTCCCCAGCTTCTCTGCACGCTCCCGCCGTCCCTCTCTGCTCCCTGCCTCCCTCCTCCCTGCTGCCTCCCTCTCTCTCCTCCCTGCTGCCTCCCTCTCTCCCTCTCTCCTCCTTGCCCTGTCGCAATGAATAATACTCTGGCTTGGGGACTGGAATAAAACACACGCGCTCTGAGGCAGCCGCCCGCAGCAGCAGCCGCCGCCGCGCCGCCGCCGCCGCCTGCAAAAGCGTCTCTGACATGGAAATGAATGACAGCTTACCTGATGCCAATCTTCATCAGACTGACACCGGCGTGACAACACAGCCTATACTTCCCAGCACTGCTCGGGACGTCAGCGGCACAGGGACCCGCCCCCCGGACCCCCCCTTCACACACCTCCCCTCTCCCCACTCCCCCTTTCTCCCCACCCCCCATCACCCCCACCCACTCCGGCCCGGCCGCTTCCGAGTCTGAGGAGCCGCTGGAGTGTCTCCCTCTACTGGAGGCTTTCCGCAGACGTCAGAGCCCGCCGCTCCGCCGGCGGGGAGGCGCGGAGGCGGAACGGCGCCCGCGCCCGGGAGGAAGCCTCCAAACGTGAGTCGCCTCGCGCGGGGGACGCGGCGGACCCCCGGGAACTCAGGAGTACCCTGCCCCCATGCCAAGTCCTCCTTAGCGAACAACTGAGGCACAGTTCCCAGACATCCGGTGCTGAGGGGACGGAGATGAGGTGAAATTTTCTGTGGACCCCAAGAGAACTCACCAGAAATTATGAAACTTAAAACTGGCAAGAAATCCTCTCCTCCGCCACCACTCTCCCTCCCCGCTTTCCTGCCTGGCTGGCCTCATTTTTATGATTGCATTTGAATAATTCTCATTACCCCGGCCCCAGAAAAGGTGCTCAGATGACACTCTGGTTAGTTATTCCTAGTCTCAAGAGCTTTTTCTGCTGTGGGCTTCCTGGGGCGCTTGGTTCAAGGAGGGGAGACTGTGTGTTGGGGTGGGGCAGAGGGAGAGAGAAGCGAGTGCAGAGGCTTTGTCAGTAAATCACCTTATTGCAAATGTCAGGCAAGGCTGTTCTAAGCCACTGCTGTTTTCATTCTAAAAAGCTCTTGGTAAACTCAGCAAGTACCCAGAGTTGTGGGGGTTGGGGTGCAGTAATACAGAGGGAGAGACCAGTTGGGCTGTTTCAGCCTGGGTCTGCTGGGGTGGCTTCATCTACTTCAGGGAAGAAATTGACTCGTCACCTATTGCCTCCTGCAGTGGAAAACCAAGAAAGCATGTGTAGTCATGTATGTGCCTCCAGTTGCTCAACAAAGATCACAGTCCTACTAAGGGCCAGGTGTGGCCAGGCTTGCCTGCTTCCAAAACTTAGCCCGTGGCCCTCTACCTAAGGGGACAAGAGAACCTCTTGTGTCCCTGGAAGCTTGCTTCTTGCTTCCCATAGAGGAGCCATTTCAGCCACACTCAGGCAGCCATTGATCCTCTGACCCCAGGCCAGGCAGGGGGCCTGGATAAAGCCCAAAGACACTGATGCAAGCAGGGAAAGCAGAAAGTGAAACCCAGCCGGCCAGGTTTTCAGTAAAGAATCTGACCCAAGAAGTTGAAGGCTGCCCCTTAGCTCTTTCCAGGCTTCTGGGTCACCTCTCACCTGCCTCAGTCACGGACAAGGATGAGAGCTGTTAGCATTCTGAGGCTCCCAGGATGCAATGGAGACCTTTCTTACATCACATTTTAGATACATACCGTTTGTCCAGATTCTCCCTGTACCTCCACATCCACCCTCCGAAGTTGTTTATGGAAGAAACTTACATCGCTGATAGCCCCCATTATAGACAGCTGAATCCTCTCACCTTCACATAGATCCTCCAAAAACTTCACTAGGTAGATTTATGTCACCCCAGCCTCTGATCTGTGGTCAGAGACTCTGGCTGCTGACAGCATAATCACTATTATATATTATACATTGTATAATAATATAATAATAATGAATGCACTTGCCCTTTTTATGTAGTACAAAAGCGGCCAGATTCTCTAACCCAGAGGCTGGAGGGCAGGCTGCCATAAACTCTCCCAGGGAAGCCCTCTTCAGATAAGGGGGGGGGCAGATCCATTTGTCCCTGCCCAGGACCCCTGGAGGGAGGGATTTCTCTCTTTCCCATGGCTATAGCCTGCAGAGTCAGAGGGGAGAACCAGGCTGAAAGTAAATATTTCACCCCATCAGAAAGGTGTCAGTGAGCCGTAAATAGTACCACAGGCAACAGCTTTGCATCACTGATTCACACTTGTCACACCCCTCGTTTTCTGAAATCTAGTTCAATGCCCTCCTCTTTCTTGATATGAAAGATCCATTGCCATGAGTTATTAATGTTTAGACTCTTTTGAAATACTGTGACTTCCATTAATATCTTTTTGGTGCTTCAAAGCACACATTATAATTTTAAGTCAATATATCTTGTTTTGACCATTTTTATAATTTCCAAGAACTTTAAAAATGATTATCTAAAATGTAACCATCCGGCCGGACACGATGGCTCACGCCTGTAATCCTAGCACTCTGGGAGGCCGAGGTGGGCGGATTGCTTGAGGTCAGGAGTTCGAAACCAGCCTGAGCAAGAGTGAGACCCCGTCTCTACTATAAATAGAAATAAATTAATTGGCCAACTAATATATAGAGAAAAAAATTAGCCAGGCATGGTGGCACATGCCTGTAGTCCCAGCTACTTGGGAGGCTGAGGCAGGAGGATTGCTGAGTCTAGGAGTTTGAGGTTGCTGTGAGCTAGGCTGACATCACAGCACTCACTCTAGCCTGGGCAACAAAGTGAGACTCTGTCTCCAAAAATAAATAAATAAATAAATAAAATATAACCATCCATTTTATAATCATTCAAAACAAATATGTGCCCTGCAGCCACTGGGAGCGGGGCTGTGGGCTGGTGCTGAGGCTGAAGAGCAGGAGCAAAGAAGCCCAGGTTATAGCTCCTGTCCTCGAGGAGCTTTCATTCTAATTGAGGAAGACAAAGCACCAATATGTAAAACATTAGCTAACAACACTAGAGTCCAACAGAAGATACAAGTTAGAAAATAAGTAATGAACAAACAAGTTGTCAATATGTCAAATTCCATGAGTTCGACATCTAGATTTTGGCTCTGTCAATGAGTAGAGAAGGGACAGAGTAGAAATTTAGTCTGTAGAATTCACTCCAGATACTCTACAATTTCTTCCCCATCATCCCTCTGAGGATGAAGAGGATGGAGAGGGAAGTACATGTCATATAAGTCATCAACACATTGACATTATAACCAAATAAGAGTTCTCACAAATCCTAATCATCATTTCTCAATGTTAGAGTTCATAAATTTGGTTCTGGGCTCTTTCCTCTCTCTATCCACACTTCGTCTTTAGTATAAGCAGCCTACACCAGCCCATGATGTCTAAGCTCCAAATTAGTATGGTCAGTGGTCCAGCTGAATCCTGCCTATGTCATTCTAGGAATAACAATTTAAGATCTCTCTGTATTAATCTGGTCGAGCTGCCATACCAAATACCACTGCCTGGGTAGCCTAACAACAGACATTTATTTTATTATAGTTATGGAGGCTGAAGTCCAAGATCAAGGTGCTGGCAGGGTTGTTTCCGGTGAGGCTTGTAGATGGCCACTTCTCACTGTGTCCTCACATAGCCTCTCCTCTGTGCACACACAAAGAGAGAAACAGCTCTGGTGTCTCTTCCTCTTCTAATCCAATGAGACCCAGTCTCATCTCATTGGATTAGGGCCCAGCCTTATGACCTCATTTAACCTCCTTCAAGGTCCTATCTCCAAAATACATTCACAGTGGGGGTTAGAACTTTAGCATATGAATTTAGGGAACAGGTACAGTTCAGTCCATAATACTGCCCAACTACCAGTTCCCTTCATTCTAAACTTAATTATTTTTAATGAATCTTGATAGATTGTGAGTTTTTTAAGACAGTATTTTGTTTCATCTTAGGATCCCTAAAACCTGATACAGTGCAGAATCCAGAAAGCATATTAAAGAAATGCTTATTGGATTGAACTGAAGGAAACTTATTTCTTCATCACTGTCTTAGTCCTAGTTGGGAGATCTGTCACCAGTCACCTTGGAATATTTTGATGATTTCCTAACTGGGCTCAATACTTCCAACAGCTGCAATCCCTCCTATACACCTCCACCAGAGTGTTCTTCCTAAAACAAAGGTTGGATCACCCCTTGCTTTCCTCTGAAAACTAGCTTTCTATTGCTTATCAGATTTAGCCTAAAAGGATATTAGGCCCATAATAAAAAGGAGGGCCTTGAATGCCACGTTTCTTAGCATGGCCTATAAGTTTTGTCCTCCTTGTCTGGCTTGATCTCCCTCTCAGGCTAATCTCCTGCATTCCTGCCTGCACCCCAAATCCACCTTTCAGTGATTCCAGAGCTGGCCCATGGACTTCCTACATCAGAACACTCTGGGGAACTTCTTTACAATTCAGGGTTCCAGGTTCCACCGCTAGAGAAAGTCGATCTGGAGAAGGGCCTAGAGATCTGCATTTTAAACCCACTGCAATTGAGATGTTTGGGAATTTCTGTTCCAGTCTTGCCACTACTCATGGGTCCCAGAACACACTTTGCACTCTCAACCCTTTCTGCACTTGCCCGAACCATTCATTCAGCCTTGTGTTTCATTCCTCATTTCCCACCTTCTGAAATTCGATCTGCTTTTAAGACTTAACTGAAACATCACCTCTTTTTAAAGCACCCTTGGATCCCCCAGCAGAGAGCACTAGCTTTGGAGTCACCCAGGCCTGGCTCAGAGCCCCACCCTGTCACAAAATAGCCAGCTACCTGGGAAGCTACTGAGAGCGCTAAGTCTCAGTCTCTGCGTTTGTGAAATGAGGATGATTATAGAACCCAACTCATGAGACCATGGGGATTAAATGAAATCATGAATGTAAAATGCTTAGCACAGTCCCTGGCACATGGGAGGCTCTTCAATAAATGGCAGCCATTAGATTTAATAGCCCTTTACCCAGGGCTGCTGCAGCACTTTGCCTTTGCCTTTATTATAGTGCTTATTTAATTGGCCTGAGGAAGGGAGATATTGTTTACTGAGCCTGCTATGACAGGCCCTGAGGGCTCAGCACAGATAGCAGCAGCAAGGAGGAGGCAGGGGGATGCTTCTCTCTACCTAAGGCCTCCTTCCTGACCCTGGACCCAGGTGAGTGGTGGGGGTTGGGGGCACCAGGGCCAAGTGAGGAAGATTCCATTCCTGATGAAATGATGGTAAGGGCTCATCCCATGGAGAAAGGAGTGGGACAGAGGAAGGAGACCTGCACCGTGTGAAAACTCAGATACTGCAAATCCTTGAAAAGGTGGGGCTCCAGGTTTCTGCTCTGAGCTGGAAAACCAGGATGTTTAGGCCCTTTGCCCATCTCTGGTTCTTTTTTTTTTTGTTTTTGGCCTTGGAAAGCCTCTCAGCTCCCCCATCTCACTCCCACCCTCTGAAGCCTATCCCCTGGGTACATGATAGGCAATTAATTGGGTCATGTCTATAACCAGCTTCTCTAACGTAGAGCAATATGATCCCCAAAGCCTTTCAAAAAACCCATCTTTCTTATGGTACTGATGCGCTTTGGGAAAGTTTCTTCAAGTGCTGTCTCTTCCCCATGCCTGACTTCCCCCTCCTCTCCACCTCCACCCCCAGCTCCACACACACACACACACACACACACGTACACACACACACACACAGGCTCTCGGGTGGGAGCAGCCTTGCCTTAGCTCCAGATGAAGGCTCCAGGGGAGGCAGTAAAGGAAAAAGAAAAGTTCCGAGTAATTTCAAAGTTCTTTCTAGGTTCTAGAAGGGGTGGGAAGTATCACAGCCAGCTTGAAAGAACTGAGAAAGAGAGAGATTGGGAGAGAGAATATTTAGGCTATATTTAGGAAGAGAAGAGAGAATGCTATGATGATTTCCAAAAAGAGCCATTTCTAGGAAATGCCATCCCAAGAGTTTGGTCACAAAAATTTGAGAAAGGAAGATATAAACCTGTGCTGTCCAGTACAGTAGCCGCTGGCCACGTGTAGTAGGTCCTGAGCACTTAAAATGCAGCTAATCCAAACTGAGATTTGCTGTGTGTGTAATACACATAATAGGTGTAGAAGACTTGGTATTTAAAAAAAGAATGTGAAATATTTCATTAAGAATTATTTATATGTATTAGGCATTAAAGTAGTAATAATTTAGATACATGGAGTTAAATAAAAATAGGTCATTAAAAATATCTTCACCTGCTTCTTTTACTTTTTCAATGTAGCCACTAGAAAATTTAAAATTACTATGTGACTTGCATTCTATTTTTATTGAAGCCTCCTTTCCAGGCTTCGTTTTTGTTCTGGTATAGGCTATGTTTGGATGCTGAAATCTTCATTATTTCTCATGTATCCCTCTGGCTCACCAGTTCTTCCGTCTCTTCTGCTTCTGCTGACACCACGCAGGACGGGCTGAGGAGTGAGGGGAGATCGTTAGGGTACTCAGCGCCTCCCTCAGACTACAGAGGTGGCTAAGAAGTCCCTCCCCACCGCTGCCCAGCGTTACATAGAGTTTTGAAACCTCTACTTTCTCCAAACAAAGCCCTCCTCTCCTACCTGTACTGGAGGACCGTCCCTGAACCCCTTGTCTCCCATCTCCTTTTCAACACTCTTCTCACTGTCACCGCTGTCACCCATGCTAGCACCATCCTCTTCCTTAGCCCTATCCCCATTCTTACTACCCTCATCATCACCACCTCTCCTGGAACTGCCCAGCATCCCTCTGCTCAATGCTCATCTAACGGACCATCTCTCCCTGTCCCCAGGGATGAAATCTATCAGCATTTGTTGCCTTTGATGCTTCATCCAACCTCAAAGCCCTCCTGAGCTGAGGACTTTGCACGGCTGGGCTCCCAACTGCATTCTGGCAGCCAGGGCCCACAGCAGCCAGACTGCAGGGCCCGGAGAAGCACCCAACAACCCTCAGAATGTGTGGAGGCCACATCCCCTGCAGAAGCTGGTCCTTTCTTATTGCATTGGGCGATGGTGAAGAAAGGTGACCAAGTGGAGGCGCAAGATACTCACAGCTTACTAGCATGGGGATGATGGTTTGCTTAGCAAGGAAGAGCAAAACAAAGCAATGATAGCTAATTCGTATTGATTATTTGCATTTGCTCTGTGCCAGATTCAATGCTAAGTGCCTAACATGCATTGTTCATCAGATCTCCATGGCACCCCAGTGAGGCTTAGGTAAGTGGAAGAACTTGTCACCAGGCATGAACTCAGGCAGACTGCCCCCAGAGCCCACACTCCAAACTATTACCGTGACGTGCTTCTTCATAAAGCATAAACATTCACTCTCTTGCTCCCTCATCCATTCATTCATTCGCTGAGTCATTCATTCAGCATGCATACACTGATAGCCTCTAAGAAACTTACCAGCTCACTGGTTCCCATTCAGCATCTAGGCTGCCCAGGCATGTGTTAGGTTTTTGGGCTATAAAGATGGTTAAATCACAATCCCTGAACTCACAGAGATCTTACAGGTTATCAGAGGCCAAGAGATCCCACAGCAGGGAAACTGAGGTCCAGTAGGAAGGGTAAGGAAAGGTTGAACTTTAAATCCCTCCTGATTTAACAGAAAAGTGAGAGTCAGCTTGGATTCTCAACCCAAACCAGGGTTTGTCTTCCAGCCTCACCCATCTCTTGAGATTTTGCAAACATATTGTGTCACCGCTTGGCTGCGTGGTCCTCTTGACAGATTCAGTATGTCTTTTTCTGCCTTCAACCCTATTGGCTGCTATCATAATGCACAGTGGGAATGTCCACACCCAAATCAAAACTTACCCACTCCAGAAACTCTACTTAATTCAGAACACCCATGTCCTGTACTCGTCTGAGTTTACATGTTCATATTTCTGCTACAGTAGTATGTACTTGTACCTTGCTTTGTACATGATCTTTAATTTCAAATATGTATGCATTAGTTCACCAAGCAGCTTTTGAACTTCACAAAAGCAAGAACTAAGTGTTCCTTTTATATCTTACCTTCTCCTTCCCAATCTCTCAGCATCTGGTAACAATCTCAGCCTATTTGAATTGACTAATAAAAGCTAATGTCGACCTACTGTGCAGACATAACTCTGTGTGTGCATTTGTGTGCACAGGTATGTCTGCCTGCCTGCCTGGGTAGTGTCCTGAATGAGTATGTGTAGCAGCGGTGTTGGGTGTACAAGTGTTGGTGTAAGCATACATATGTGTATGTGTGGATGAATTCTCCAGCTATTAAAGTTAGGGAAGCTTAGACACGCATCAGCACAATCCGTCCATTTCCAGACGTTATCTCTCATGATAATTTCCTGCCAAATCTTTGAGTTGCAATTAAGAAAGTGGATAATTTGAACCATTTTCCTCTGCATGTTGAGGTGGATTATAATCCTAATTTGATAAAGACTCTTGATGACTCATTAGCCACCCTTGGCTTCTCCTCAGGTCGGCCAGCTCGCCAGGCGCTGGAGGCAGCTGGCAGCAGAGAGGCAGCGCGCTCAGGTCATTACATGTCATTGCTTCAGCAGCACTAAAACGAAAAGACACAGCAAAGCCACAACTGCACCACAGCCCTGGAATTCTCTTTCCTTCAGCTCCCGGATTTGAGCATCAATTTTCTTTTCCTGGCTTTGAACAAAGCCTCTAATTTCCTGAAAACCAAGATGCTGTCCCCAGGGGCTTTGCGCTCTGCCAGAGTGGCACACGATGCGCTGCAGTCTTCCCTCTACAGGCAGCGGTACAGGGAGCCACTCTGCTCCTTCTCTGTGCCATCCCACCACAATTTGTCTCCTAGGATGGGCTCTCTGTGTCCAAAGGTTGGGGATTCCTGGAGGAAACGGCAATTCAAGTTGTTTACAGTGACAACAACTATATCACAGCCCCATTTCTGCCTGGGGTGAGAAGGGGTCAGAAAGCAGGGAAGGCCATCCAGAGGGCCCCATTCCCTCTCCTCCTGGTGAAGGAGCTCCTCTTTCTTAAATACTTCACGGAAGCCAATGTCATGGTTTCCCTTGGGTCACCCACTTGACATTTTAAGAACCCTGATTCTCAGGAAGTTCGTACTTAGTGCTTAGACTCCTGTGGAGATGTGAACACACACGTGGCATGCATGCACTCATTACATGTGGACATGTAGGACACATAGGCACATGGTCACACTGACATGTGGTCACAGTCACATAGACAGACAGCCACACTGACACATAGTCACACTGACACAGTCACACTGACACATAGTCACACTGACACACAGTCACACTGACACACAGACACAGTCACACTGACACATAGTCACACTGACACACAGTCACACTGACACAGCCACACTGACACACAGTCACACTGACACAGCCACACTGACACATAGTCACACTGACACACAGTCACACTGACACACAGTCACACTGACACAGCCACACTGACACACAGTCACACAGACACAGTCACACTGACACATAGTCACACTGACACACAGTCACACTGACACAGTCACACTGACACATAGTCACACTGACACACAGTCACACTGACACAGTCACACTGACACACAACCACACTGGCACAACCACACTGACACACAGCCACACTGACACACAGTCACACAGACACAGTCACACTGACACATAGTCACACTGACACACAGTCACACTGACACAGTCGCACTGACACACAACCACACTGACACACAGACACACTGACACAGCCACACTGACACACAGCCACACTGACACACAGTCACACAGACACAGTCACACTGACACATAGTCACACTGACACACAGTTGCACTGACACACAACCACACTGACACAACCACACTGACACACAACCACACTGACACAGCCACACTGACACACAGTCACATGGTCACACTGACACACAGCCACACTGACACACAGACACACTGACACACAGCCACACTGACACACAGTCACACTGACACACAGCCACACTGACACAGCCACACTGACACACAACCACACTGGCACAGCTACACTGACACACAGCCACACTGACACACAACCACACTGACACAGCTACACTGACACACAGACACACTGACACAGCCACACTGGCACATAGTCACACTGACACATAGTCACACAGACACACTGACACACAGCCACACTGACACACAGTTATGCTGACACAGTCACACTGACACATAGTCACACAGACACAGTCACACAGACACAGTCACACTGATACACAGTCACACATAGTCACACAGACACATTGTCACATGGAAGCACTAACATACAGTCACACAGTCACAAAATCACATAGACGAACAGTTACAAAGTCACATGAAAACACTTACACATGGTAACACAGTCACATGGTCAAATAGACACAGTCACATGGTCACACATAAACACCAACAAAAAAATCACACAGTCACACATTCACATGATCACACACAGTCACACAGAAACTCTAACGTGCTCACACAATCACATGGTCACACATTAACATGGTCACACAGATACATTGTCACACTGATACATGGTCACAGGGACACACAGTCACGCTGTCACAGATGCAGGGTGACTAAGCGTGTAAGGACTTCTCCATATGGTCTTGACCCTGAGGTAAGTAAGGGAGTCCGGCAGAAAGGAGGTTTAGTCAGTGAGCAAACACACATCTTTGTTGTGTGCCTGGTGTGTGCCAGGAACCATGCTGGACGCTGGGGTACCGTGGCGCACGAGGATGGGTAGGCTGGTGGTGACCCCGCGTGGTTGGGCCAGTGCTTCTGCACTCTGGGGCGGGCAGGTGGGAGGGGTGGCATCCTCAGCCAGGATCAGCCTTCGAGCTCTGATTCAATCCCCTCCCTGCCCCCCCATGCCTGACAGGTGTCCTCTCACCCCTGTCCCAGGCCCACTTCTTCCCTACTGTCACAAGTAGGCTTGGGGTGAGACAAAAAGCCTCTGCTGCCTCCACCCCACCCCCGCCCTGCGCATTCCATCAACGTAGCAAATGCTTTCTGGGCAGGACCCCTGAGGCTGTCTTCTCTGCCACCCACCCCTCCTTCCTTCCCAATGAGTCCAGGGAGATCTGAGCCGAGAGGTGATGGATAGCCCTGTCTTATTGTTCCAGACTCTGAATCCAACAGGGGCCTGGGAGAGCTGTATAAATCAGAGTCTGGGCTGGGCTCTCACCAGCGCGACTCGACAAGAGGAATGGAAGGCGAGGGACCATAAAACTGTCTATGGGCTAAGTTGTTTCATTTCAAGTCAGGGCCAGAGAGAGAAAATGTTTGGTTCTTGGGAGACAGGCTCATTGAATAGGATGGATAAGCTGGCCGAGGGCTGCATCTCTGGGCACTCAGAGAGGGAGGCTGGGGGAGGCTGGTCTCATAGGAGGACAGTGGATGGGTCCAGTGGCCCTCATCTTTGGTGCCTCAGTCCCACAATTTCAGGGCGGGGGA